CTAGCACGGCTTCATGGCTCTTGTGTGCATGGCCGGGGGTTGCTCTCATCCTGTTTTCCTCCTTGGGACACGCTGGACGTGGGCTTCGCATCCACTCCTTAGCTTTGTGCCATGCTTTGGTGAAAATCCCTGTGCCTCATGGAGCCCTTTGTGGGGCCAGGACACACGGAGCCGGGTCAGAGCTCCGCAGATGCAGAGCTACCCTCACCGGGAGATATTTGCAAAGCGGCTTGCAAGATTTGGAGGACAGGGAAGCGTATTCCCCATGGAAGGTGGCCCAGCGAGCGCCGCGGTGGGACTGCTGCTCCCTGGGAGCACCGTCTGTGCCTCGCAGCGCGGGCAGGCCGTGTCTCAGGAGGGAGGCTCTCCCGGCATGCCCACACGTGCGTTAGGAATTGGACCGACACCATGAAGTTCACTGCAGGTCAGAGACGCGTTTCGAGGCAGTGACGTAGAAGTTAAAGGCTCCCTCGATGATTCCCAGTCTCCTGTGCCATCTGGCTCCCCGTCACTATTTTATCTTGCTCGAACGCTGCGAATGCCAAGGCCTCGTCCTGGCGTGATGGTGCTGCAAAGAAAACCGACAGCCCGTTCGAGTTACGCCGCCGTGAAGCTGAGAACCGCAGGACGTGGTGCAGGATCGGCCTCGCGGCCCGTGTTTGCTGGTGGCATCCGTGGGGGCCGGCGGCTCCGGGGCGCTGGAGACCATTCCAGCAGCAAGGACGCAGCCAGCCCCGAGCGCGGCCCGCGGGCCAAGACGTGGTTATGAGATCAGAGAGGAAAGTCAGCCGAGAGGTGGGGGAAACCCCGCGAGCAACGTGGTGCCGGGATGACCATGAGGTGGAAAGGGTGGAGCCGCTTCGTGCCGGGGAAAGAAATGGCCCACGGGATGAAGTCAGTAGCCCACTCGGTGCTCCTCGTTAGTCATGGTCCTCGGCGCCGGGCTGGATCCCGGCTGCGCTTGCACCTGGCCCCTGCGTCCCTCGGGAAGCTGGGCCTGAGTAATCTGCACAGACACCGCACGGCCCCGGGGGACGTGATTAAGCCGTGATTAAGACCCGCCGGCTGCTGTGTTTGAGGGTGTCGTGTGCCCTGAGGGCACAGCAGGAAACCCGACCTTGGCCACGGCAGCCTGGGAGCAAAACCCCGGGAAGGACCTGGACAACGTGCCAGGAGCCCGGGCAATGGAAACTCATGCCGCGCTAGCTCGGATATTTGGATTTCTACATCGTTTACACCTTACATAAACGAAGGGGGCTAGGGAGGTAGTTCCGAAATCCTTCGATAGGATCCTTCAGTAACCAAATTCCCATTTGGCCCTTCCCAGGTCCTGAACGGCTTGTGTGCCGCGGGATATTTCCAAAGTTTTTGTAATTACAGCGGAAGACTCTTGCAGTAGAAGACCCTGAGGCAGTTTTATCGCTGCATTCAGTAAAGCCGGGTGCTGCTCACGGCAGCGGCCGATCGTGCCAGCCAGGATGCGGATAGAGCGGTTGGCACCGGCCGGCAGCGCAGCCAGGTCACTGCCCGGGGAGCCCGAATGCAGCAGATGCAGCCAGACACACGTGGGAGTGTGTTAATATACGGCCTGATGTGAAAACCACCTGCTGGCTTGGCAGGAAAGGCGCGCGCGCTCATGTGATTTTGCAGTGTGTACGAAGGCACCTACTGCCTCCTCATCCCACCACGTGGAATTCCCATTTGCCTTCACAGGAGTCTCGTGCACTGAGGCGCCGAACTGGAGCGAGATGGAGCCGATCCCTTTCATGCAAGCAGCAGGCTGATGTCTTCAGTGTTCCCTTTTTCATGTTTCCCCATGGGAAGTGTGCAGGGCACGGCAGGAGCGATGGCTTGGCCTCCTCCGGCTGCCCTGCTGGAGCCCCAGGCCGGCTGGGACACAGGCCGGGATGCCCTGGAAGCTCCTCTCTCGTCTCTCAGCTTCCTCCTTAACGTTTCCAAACCTTTTCTGCTCACCTTACTCCTTTTGGGTTTTCTTCTCGCCCAAAATAACCGCAGCAACACAACCCACTCCTTGGAATTGCTGTCGTGGCCTCGCAGTCGCCACTTTCTGTTGCCTTTTCCCAGTTTCAGGCAGCCGCCTGGATAACAGGATTATTTATCATGCTCTCCCTCCCCTGGCAGGATGACTTGCTGTTTATGGAAAGCGCTGGAGTGCAGGGGAGCTCGGGCTGCAGTTAAACAGGCACCACTTAAAGGGCCATTCCCCGTGGCCAGGCTCTACACGAGGCTTTTTTTTGGGGGGGGGAAAAAAAAGCAAAACAAAGCAAAACAATCCTTCACCTTCCTCTTATCTGGGTTTCTGGGACAAAAAGAGTCAGCAAATCAATTAGGAAATGTCACAGCAGCTGCAAATGACGGCAGTCTGCAGCAAATTAGCCATCCCGCTCCATGGGTCCCTGCATCTCCTGCGTCCCGTGGAGCCGGGATGTGCCTGTCGTCCTCCGCAGTTCCTACCACGTGGGAGGGAACCTCCCGGGACGAGTGTGCAGTGTTGCAGGAGCAACCAGGTTGTGTGGGTACCGCAACACGAAGGTTGAGCTTTGAGGAGCTCAAATTGTTTGGAAGAAAACCATGGTGGAGCTTGGAGGGAGCTTCCTAAGACAGCCAGGCCTTGACAGGCTTCCAAGTTGCAAACAGTGAGGAATAATATCCCAATTTTATGGTACTTCGCATGGCTGAGTTGCCCCCTGGGGAGTCTCCATGGGATCGCTGCGCCCAGCTTTGGTTTGAGTCCGAGGAGCAGAGTTTGACACCCGCGTGGCTGGGGGTAAACGAGCCCCCCATGCACGGGGCCCTGGATGGCACAGATGGAGAGTTTTGATTTCATTTACAAAGTCTAACAGCCTCGTATATCTTAAACGGAGCCAGTACAGGTGTTCAGATGTGAATCAAGGATTACCGAGAAAACGTGGCCCATTTTTAAGAGACAAATCCACCAGGCAGGAGGTGTCCCCTTCCCAGCAGAGAAACCATCTCCCGAAAGGTCTTTCCTTGCGGTTATTTGGCCACACGGGCCAAATGGGACGTAGTTACCTCATGTGTAGCTGCACGGAGCCCTTTTGGATCCCTCCGCTTCACCGAAACCCGCGGTGGATTCTGCATCTCATGATGATTTGAAAATGATCAACCACGAGAGCAGCTGGAGAGCGGCACCGAGGAGAGTTTCAAAGAAAACAGAGCTCCGCCAGGAGCATGGAGCCAGTGCAGGGCTCCAAAAGGAAGAGCTGGAAAGGGAGGAAATGATCTTTGTAGGTGTAACAGCTGGAATAACAACTGTCCTGCTTGTTTTCCTTGCGTCTTGTTGCTCTTTGTGGGCCAAGTTTTGGGGAAGAACCTGGTTTTCCTGCCCGAAGAGCGTTCGGCGCTTGTAGTCCTGGCCGGCGCTTTGCTCACACCTGGAACATCTGGGATGTCTCCGTGCCCCTTTTCCCAAGGCAGCTGCCGGTCGCTTGCAGAACCCACCTGTGCGTTAGGGGCATTCGTTTCATTTTGAGTCTGTTTGAGGGGGCTTCAACACGTGCCCCCTGCACCAAGGGCTGTGCAAAGCCTCCTCCTGGCCACCTGCGATGTTCTCCCATAGCTCCTAGCATTTGAGGGGCTTGCAACACCTTTAAATTAGACAAGTACTATCCTGCTTGCTCCTCTTAATTGCATTTAAAAAAAAAAAGCAAAACATAATTTTCCGATGCTCTGCTATTTGTGCTGATTTTCTTTTAAACCTATAAATACCACCCTGTCACTCTTTTGACATGTCTCGTGGTGGGTCTTGCATAGAATATGATATTTCAGGTATGGCACACGCAGGTCTAACGGAGCTGTAGGCTGTAGGAAGGTGCCATGCAGAAGCAAAGTGCTCTTATTTCTCCCGTACGGTGTTTTTCATGCGGATATATCTTTGAATCCTTTAAAAATTCTCACAGCTTTGAGCAAATGCATTTTTACATCACCCGACGTCCAAGGAGACAATTTGTTTCCTAAGTGGAGGGACAACCCAAGTATAAAGCTGTGTGTAGAATTTGTGTGAATTTTACTCACGTTCTCCAGTCTTTGGTCTCTTTGGGGATCTTACATATTTTTCATTATTATCAAATATTTGCAATGATCCATATAAACAGTCTAATGTTAAAAGCTGCTCCAAGTGTAACTCGACCCAGAGGAAAGATGCTTATCTGAGCTCAACAATGACAGATTTAACAAAGATGCTGAGGCAGTGTGTTTCCCATAAAATCAAGGGAAATGCAAGAAAAAATCCAAATTGGAAAGACTCCTTAACAATAGCCGCAGTAGAAGTTATCTGCACATTTAGTAGGGGGCTATCACTTGGAGGAGCTCCACACACATGCCCAGCAGTGCCGGTGCCAGATCCACATTAGCCAATGAAGGGAGAAACGAGAAGTAAACGCTCGGCGAGACCGGTACTGTCAGAATCTATTTCACTGTTTGGTAATTATTATTTTTATTACTATGACAACCCAGACCATTGGAGTTGTTGCTTTAACCCCAGCAAATGATAAGTGCAGATCAGACATTTTTTAACTGAAGTCATCACTTTTTGCCTCTGTGATGTAAACCCCCAAGTAAAGAAAGTGATGGCAACTACCGAATGCTCTGGTCCCTCCCTGGCTTTCCCCGCTGGCCTGAGCGGGTCTGCTGCAAAGGGCCACTCCAACCAACCTTTCTTTCTGTTTTTCTTTTTTTTTTTTTTTTATCAGAAGGCATTTGAGAATGGCTCCACACTGGCTCAGCATTTTCTGCTTAAAAAAAAAGCAGCATTCCTCTTTTTAAAGTGCTTCCAAATCTTTTACATCTCTTTTCAACCCCCACCTTTTTTATTTTTTTTCCTCTCCCCCCTTGTGGTCCTGCAGACCACCCGGTAAGCCTACATGACATCATGAGGGAGAATTAAAACGTACTTGAAAGGCCACTTCTGTTTTGGTGGGAACTTCTATGCAATTGCAAAGTGCCCATTAAAGCACAGGTTGTTTCCTAGAAGCATGTCCAAGCCAGTAGCGTGCAAACCCCTCCAGGGCTTCTAGAAAGCATTCGCTTTTGAAATGCTGAAGGAAATTCAGAGATGAAAGGATAAGTCTCCCTGGCTGTGCATTTACAGTCTATTGTCTTCCATGAAGGATAGTATCACTCCTCGGTTGTGTTATTGCAGTTAATCCACTTAAATGCTATTGGATTTTCAGATGAGCGGAATTCTTTGCCTCTGCTATTAAGGTGCTTTGTTTGGCTGAGAAAGGGCCGTTATTTAAATGACAATGAGTTCAGGGAGATGTCAGGGTGCGCGGGG